TCGTAAGGCGTGAGTTCATGATGCTTCGCTCTGGGCTGCTAATGAACTGTCGCTCTGGTTAGGGAGAAAAGTTTTAAAAAACCAGACCCAAAAACTTATCATCTATCTTCGGCTGTGCTGATTTAGAGTTTTTTCTTTTTTGCAATTTAATGTCTTATCCTTTTTTCAAGTTGTATTTGTAGACCTACATCTAAAGGTCGGATGCACTGGTACCGGCCCCATGAAACCTACGGAGCACGTGTTTTCAGCGATCCTTAGGTCAGTTTGACCCGGCTCGCATTATTTGGCGAAATCTCAGCACCTATATCATTGCTTGTAATTGGAACATGTAAACTATTGGTTTAAAAAACATTGCACAAAAAAACTATCGGACAAACTTAAAAATGGACTACAAAAACTTTCGACCAGACAAAATTGGGTAAAGAGTCTGGCCATCCAATGGGATCCATGAAATTCCAATGGGTCCAAACGGGAACCACCTCAAATTGCCAGTGAGGACCCATTGGCCCGCACGGTTTCCAATAGGAATTTCTCTGTGGGTTCCCATAGAACCATTTTACCAGGGAAATATACAGAAGCAAGATTAAAAAGATGTATTTTCCGAAAAATGGTCACGTATCCTTGCAATTTTTCATTGCTGCTATGTGTTTCTCAAGGTAAGTCAGATTGCTTATTATTGCAACCTGTAGTATTTGTTGCAAATTACTGATTAAAATCTTATGAGTCAGACAAAAAAAAATCATTCCATGTCTCGATGAGGTCGAACTAAGTTGCAACATTCGGTTGTATTGTTGATTGCACACATCTCGGTATTTCATAGCAGGGCTGCGGAAAAATTGCTTAAAATTGAGTGAATCCAAATTATATATTGAGATACTTCAAAAGTGCCGCATTCTACTCGTTTTTAAATGGATAAAATTGAAGGGGTTGGAAGGCAAAGTGTATAAGTGTAGTTTTTGAAAAAAATTTAGATATTCATGAACTCATCTAAGACCAGTTTGAAAGTATACTCTGAAAAATTCACACCTAATATCCAACTTTAAAGTATCAAAAAGTGAGTTTGAACTTCCTTTCCGTTATAAGGCTCCATGCACTTTTGAAACTTTCTTGAAAGTTTACTTTGAAAACTTTGAGGGGCTTGGAGGACAAAGTGCACGAGTACAGTTTTTGAAAAAATTTGAGATAATAATGTTATCAATTGAAACTATACTTAATGAAAATTCTGTGAAAAATTTTCTCCCGAATTCCAATTTTTAAGCATCAGAAAGTCAGTTTGAACTGTTTTTCCGCCATAAGGCTCCATGTACTTTTGAAACGTTCAACATGTATTTTTTGAAATAGCAAAAACTGCACTTGTGTGCTTTGTCCTCCAAGCCCCTCAATTAAATGACACCTTAAGAGAGACAAATGAAATGTTGACTAAAAGTTGCAATCTGCACCAACATATGGAACCTCAATGAAATAGTTGCAAAAGTTTCTCTGAGATACGCCTGTTGGATGGACATTTCAACTAAATCTCATGCGTGAACGGTAAGTTTAATGCGTGATTAATGAGGTTCCAACAGGCAACGAGGGCGGAAAACTAACCCGACCGAGCAAGTATCGCCTTCTCACCCTTTCAGGAGCCATTTTCGTAAATCCACCCCGGCTCTCCACTCTAAACGGTGCATTTATTATTCAGGCGCTTGTAAGTAACTTGAGGTGGAAATAAAATACACCTTGTATGAAGGAACACTTAACTCTTGAATCCATTTCGGCGACGTGACCCAAATTGGTGACTTAGAGCCGCACTCTTAGTCATCCTGTAATCAACCCCTAAATTAGACGATGCCCGCAGCCCTTTAAGGCGCGTGGATAGCTCCAGGGAAGTTTTAGTGAGGCTTCCTCGTCAATTTAAGACCCCATGATCCTCGACGAAAAACCCAATATGCTTTCTGAACTCTCGCCTAAGAAAGCTTGACAATACGAGTCCAACGATGGCGTTGGGACCCTAAAGGGTCGTGTACATAATTGTTTCTTGAAAAGCTACTCTCCTTGGAAAGTGGAGGAGGGCTCTGAATGGTTTACACCATCGTGATTAAGGAATGGTTTATGAAAGCCTTTAAAATGGCATCGAAGGGAGGCTTCAAATATTTTTTTAAACTTAATAAATTTGAAAGCTTTGTAATCGTAAGTAGAACGAAGTGATAGTTTATAAAATACATTTTAATCTAATAGTTTTAAATGCTAAAACATATTTACACCGTCTAACTTAAACACAAGTAGTTGACCTATAAATTGAGCTTATAATCAATGGAATGGGGAACAAATTCAAATTGTAATCAGTGAAATATACGATCCAACAATTTTTGAAATGTGTCCATTTCACGCGTCCCACGATTGAAACGTAACACAATAAATTACATCTCACGAATTTCTTAAACAGAGAATTTCATACTTGTGTGACAAACCCATTTTAAAGAGAACCGTGTATATGTCTAAATTTAAGAAAATGTTATTTACACACAAATAAAAAAAAATAGGTATTTTTTTTTCTTAAGACAACGAAGTCGTTTTACTTTTGTCACACCCATCAACCCATACACATATTTTGCTGCTGACTGATATAAATTTAGGAACTATAAGTATCAATGAATGTGTTACGTTATAATGGGCCTGTTGCAAACTTTTGCTAGAGCAAAAATAAGAGTTGTTTCTTGTAGATAATGCCTCAAAAATCACGATGAGCGCATCGGCAAAGTCTGAAATGCACTTATAACTTCACAATCTGCGTAAGAAATTTGCGTTTTTTTAAGCTTCCCGCTTCAAAAACGATACTACGGCACAGGTGAACATCTCGTTAGAGGTGTCATTCCATCGTCGGCGATATTCATCATGGCCGACGCTTGCGCGTAGTTCCGCGCGTAATTCGAGGAGAGTTCAAGGTCAATCAATTCGGGCGTGGAAAATATGTATGAACGTTAACACACCGATTGTTATCTAGTCTAATCCAGTTCAGGTGTTATCTCGTCCCATCAAACGTGTTTTGGCGGATTGGCGTCGGCCATGATGATTATTGCCGACGATGGAACGACTCCTCTTACAAAATGTTCACCTGTGCCGTAGTATCGTTTTTGAAGCGGGAAGCTCAAAAAACCGCAAATTTCTTACGCAGACTGTGAAGTTATGAGTGCATTTCAGACTTTGCTGATGCGCTCATCGTGATTTTTGAGGCATTATCTATGAGAAACAACTCTTATTTTTGCTCTAGCAAAAGTTTGCAACAGGCCCATTGAATTTGAGCTGCTTTAACCGGAATTAGCATAACTGCAGTACACGTTGCTTAACTTTTCCTCTTTAAATAAAAAGTAATTAAAAAATTTTGCTCAGTGCCTCTGTAACATAATAGAGGAATGGCCTCTCGCCATAAAGCCTAGATCTGGAAGCAGTGGAAATATCTCAGAACATGATGCATCCTCAAATTATCGTATATGCAAACTGCCTCTCTGGCGCACGAATTGTTGCCTACTTAACCTTGGCGCGCCACTACTCACTCTGCGTTTTTGTGAAGTCTCAAAAACCGGGTGTGCTATTAAAAACGCTGCGCCGTAGAAACATTTGAATTTTGCCAAATTTCCCTTATTAACAGATTTTTTTCAGGACAGTTCTTGAAATTTTTCCTTGTACTTTTCGGATAATTCATATAAAATTGTGAATACAATTCTGTGAAAATTTAAAAGAAAATTGTGATTGAATTTTCAAAGAAGTCCGGTCTTTTTTGGCAGAGATTTTGCAATCTTAGAACGTTTATGTATGGCGTTATCCTTAGCAAACACGGTAGAGTGTCTCAGCCTTTTTATTTGCGATGAAGAAGTAATCATGACATTTTTTTTTAATTTTTACGAGATTGTATTCGAAACTGTTCTTAAAAATAAATTTTTTATCGAGGAAAATACTCTCTCGAGCTCTCCTTGAGCCTTTCTCTTCAAATGCTCATCACATATTTGAATGTTAAAATTTTAAAAATTCTGTGTTTTACAATATGCTGCAAATTTCAATGTAAATGTTTGTTCAGGAGTTAGAAACCTTTAAAAATACCACTCCATTATGATGCAAATGTTTACAGAGCATTCTTTCTTACACGAGCAATACATTAGTTCTTCAAAAATTAGCAAAATAATCAGAATTTCAATTTGAGGAAAAATATCTGACTATTTTCCTAGGCATTTGACAAAACCTCTTCTCCCACTATTTGTTAGCAATCGAGCATTTCATACATCTTCCTATATCACATCAAAGAGTGCAACAGAATCACACAAAAAATTGACTCAAAGCACTGCCAAACGCTGTATGAGCCTATGGACGCTGCCCTATGTCCTTCAATAAAAAGCGAATTTACTGGAAGAATTTTGAATATTTTTCTTCGAATATATCAGACAATTTTGCTCGCAATTTGATATAAAACATTCAAAAGTACCGAGGAAAAATGAGGGACTTGGAAGTCAAGGTGCATAAGTTCGATTTTTGATAGTTCGAGAAATACGTGTTTGAAGTTTCAAAATTACATGGATCTTTATAGCGGTAAAATAGTTCAAACTGAATTTTTGATGCTTAAAAATTGGAATTTGAGAGAAAATTTTTCACAGAATTTGCATCAAGTGTAGTTTCAATTGATATCACTATTATCTCAATTTCTTCAAAAACTGCACTCATGCACTTTGTCCGCCAAGCCCCTCAAATATGCACCAGTTTCCTCAAAAAGACATATGTTTTAACCGGGGCAACTCTCGAATTTTCATAAGGCGTTTTTCCTTAGCACGGCAGAGTAGTCCATCAAACTGCCGTGCTAAGGAAGAACGCCGTATGAACATTTGAGAGTTGCCAAATTTCCTTCGATAAAATGTTTATTTTTAAGGAAAGATATGAATATTTTTCCTTTAAATTCTCAGAATCTTTAGATGAAATTGCGAACAAAATTACCTGACAAATTTGGAGGAAAATTTTCATAAGAATACCAGGACATTCGCGTTTTATCAAAGGAAATTTGGCAACGCCTGAAGGTTCATACGACGTTTTTCCGTAGCAAGTCAGTTCAAGTTATAATCCCAACGATTTTTATGACCACGATAGAGTCGATCCCAAGAGCGGTTCATGACCCGGTCGACGATATCATCCGGCCTCCTTCCGATGACGTCAAGCACCCTTAAGAACCCACGAGGCCTTTTTTGTCTCTTCTCACCCTTCTCACCCCTTTCACCCTCATCACATCCCTCCTCCGCGCTTTTCGCCCTCGACTTCTTCTCGCCCAACTTTCGCCGCGAAGCACCTACCTTCTTGGGCCTCTTCCCGGACCTTTGCCTCCCCCTCTTCCTGGATACCTTCTTCTCGGCCTGAGCATTCTCCTTGGCGGCGCGACACGCCTCCTGGTACGCGGCTCTGTACCCGCCCGCGGCCCGCAGGTAAACCTCATCATCATCCCAAACCGCACCGGGCAGCCACCGGTTCCCCGTCTCACCAGAAACCGGTTCGTAGGTCGGAACTATGAACTGGTTTTCGGGTGTGGGTGGCGAGTAGTATCGCGGTCCGTTCATCGAGCGGAGAAATGACTCCCTCTCATCGGAGGACACCCCGGACAACAGTGGGGTTAGTCCATCTTTGTAGACGACCACCCTGTCTCCGTGCACCTCGTACCTCACCCTCCTATCCGAGGGTGGATACCCCGGGCCCTCGTCGAACGTTGGACGGTGAGTTTCTGGACGGCGCTCGTAGGAGTAGTTTTCCACCGAAGCCTCATCATCCATCATCGGTGCTCCGGATACGGTGGATATGCCAGAGAGCATCTCTCGCTCTCCGGAACGTAGGACGGAGTTGGCGATCCCCAGGTCGGTTTGGGCTTCCGGATTGGTCCAGTGTTCTTGTCGTTTCTGCTTCTGGATTTGGTCCGGGAACCGGGAATCGAGTTCCTCGCTGAGGTCGTCTAGGGATTGGTGACCGATTGAGCTTGGTGACCTGTTGAAAAAATAACACAGTTGAAGGCAAGTATATCTTACACTAAGAAAAAAAAAACACACTGAGGTTTGGTTAATTCTCAAGTTCCTTGGTTTTCCCATTTCTTTCAATGTTAAAAACGCAAATTGCACCGAAATCAACATAAGATTTGAGCTAGTTTATGTTTCACTTTCCACATTAAACTAAAGTAAAATAAGAAAACTGATATTTCTCCCAGCGGAGATGCAGGCAGCTCAACAATAATTGTTGTAGCTGCAGTAAATTTAGTGTACTCAGGTGGCACAATCGTATCAGATACTTTTAAGTAAAGTGGAAACATTAAAAAAATTATGAAAATGAGACCATTTCATTACATTAAAAATGGAAACTTTGACTGTTCCTGGGAAATGAGACTTAAAAGTTCAAGATGGTATATTTTTCAGCAGAGTAATTTTTGTTGATTATAAAATTTTGACATAAAACTTTGTCCTGTCCCAAAAAATCAGTAAAGAGCGATTTAGTTCATTTTTGCGTAATTAGAAGGCGTACAATGCATTACACTCTGTAATTTTGCACCATAAACATGACAGATTAGCGTTCTAAATAGTGTTTCCTCCAATTTGAATTTTTTGACGTATAGTGTTCTTAATCCGAAAATTTGCTGAAAATGTATGAAAAAGTCGAAATTTTTTGAACACGGAAATTTGGAAAATAGCCTCTTATATATTTTTTCTCAAAATAACTGAGAGGCGACAAATAAATTAAATGATCTAATCCATGATGAAATAAAACAAAAAACCCTAGGGATAACAACCTAAAAAGTTTGAAAAATTTCAGTGATGAAGTAGTTCGCGTTCCAAAAGTTGGATTAAGAATATTTTATGAGAAAGATTTTTTTTTTAAATAAAAAAATGGTCTTCAACCAATTATTCCTTACGTGATTTGAGTTTTCACCGAAGTTGTCGATCCTTGAGACGGTTCGCCGTTACTTAGAACGGGATTATTGCGAATTTCAACTGAATTTCGGGGAAATAGGTCTCGAACTTCAATGGGTTGGTCCTGATTATTGCTCTGATGGTTTACGCTAGGTTGAAATGATTTTAAGAAGAGGCTCGGTGAGCTAGGATCGGCTGCAATGTGTGCTTCACTCAAGTTGTAATTATCAACAGCCTCTTGATATTCCTCTGATTTTGCACTTTCAGCAAAACTTTTCAGTAGCTCGAGATACTTGTCACCCATTGAGTCATGAAGTGTGGACTTCGGAACTCGGTCCGATCTGAAATTTGGCACGGTTTCCAAGAATTTCATCGCAAAACCGGCGTTTTCATTGAATTTTGAGCCAGTGGGTGAAACTGCCGCAAGAAGATTTTTCACCGGTGTGTTTTTCGTCGACAGTTTAACATTCTGACCGGAACTTCGGACAGGAAAGCCGAAACGTGGAACATCCGTCGCTGATTTTACGGAAAATTGAGTCTCCTCAGTCTCCTTCTGATTGGAAGTTCGAAAATATTCCTTAAATTTTGGAATAGTCTGCTCAGATTGAGCGCCCGTCACCGCTGACTTTCCTGAATTTTGCTCTGATGAACTACTATGTGTAGATTTTTTGTAGATATCCGAAGGGTTCCCGTGTTCAGGACCTTTGCTCCGAGATTCTGATAAGCCAAGAAAGTCTCCAAGGTCATAAACTGCCCCTGGTAACGATTTATCTTTGCCGCTGGGGCTAGACAACCCTTTAGGATCTCCAACATCATGCAATATTTCAAGTAAGGAATTTTCTTTTCCACTAGGGCAAGTCGCCCCTGAAGGATTTTCGAAATCGTAGATTGCCCTAGCTAACGAGATTTCTTCGCTCTTTAAGTCAGATGATCCTGCAGTGTCTGCATGACCATGCATTGCCTCCGCTAGTGAGTTGTCTTTTCGACCAGAGCCAAGGAATTTTGGATTTCCAGGGGCATCGATTGTCCCTGCTGGCGAGCTCTCAGGGTCAGAATCAGCGGAGGCACTGGAGGGATCATGGTGCCTCCGTGGGCTAGAAAAACCCATCACGTCACTGGATGGATGTGGATTTTGGATTCTGGATTCTGGAACACGACCATTTCTACTAGAATATGCAGCATACTTGCTGGCATGACCATCTCGAAGCGGTTGTGGATAGATCATGGGCACGGCGTTGTACTTCTCTCTGCGTACGTAGTTGAGAGCGTTGGGAATGTTTTGTTTTGACTGGTGCGACGGCGTGAAGGACTGGCCTTGCTTTGTTGAGTCGGCGCTTTCCGCGAACCGGAGATCTCCACTTGAGGACGAAGCTCCACTCGGGTAAACAGTGCGGTCGACCAGATGGAAAGTTGCATCACTTGGGGTCCCTGACCCTTCTGAATGGCTCTTTCGTTGTGGGGTCTTTGACTCTGGGGTTTGTGGTGGCAGCACTGCGTTTTGACCCGAAATTATGTCGCTGCTGGTGGCAACGCACAGAGAAATGTGGAGCACGTGAAACAGGAAAAATAAACGCATTTTGAACCGATCGTTGAAAAGCGCGTTTGATTTCGACATGATACACTAGTGTGAGACAGAATTAGGCTACTTTAATGTACGCAACTTGCTGCTGGAGTGTCTTTTTTAATACGATTTCGATCATTATTTTTTTAATTAATTATTTATTTTTTTTACAGGCACTTCCCCTCAACGACAAATTCACGGTGGAAATTAATGTTTCCAAAAATGACGCACACTTAGAGCAATTTATTTTTAACTTTTGATGCTTGGAGCAAGTTCCGCGCAGAATTATTTTGAGTAGCTTTTTTCACCAGAAGCACACCTTTATGCAATGTTAGGACACATTGTTACTGATGTTATTTTGTAAAAAGTAAGAAAATTATCGAAATTTTCTGAAAAAGAAGCTCAGTATTTTTTCAATACTCGAAAAATGGATTTTAAGCTCATCAGAAAACACTCTCACCGCGGGGTTGAACTCCGCTCCGTATAGAAAAATCCAACATTTTTAAACCAATATTCGGGCATTTTTTTTATTTTTAATCTTACCAGCGAAAACCGTTCGTTCAACCACGTTTGCACACACTGTAAGTAGTATTGTCGAGAAACTATCAGTTTTTGAACAATTGCGCTATGTATCCTGAGGATTTGTAGTCCGCCAGACAAGAATACAGATCGTTTGAATTTCCAACGCTGAACTATTGCGTCACTCTTCCACTTTTCACCGGTACTACACACCTCGCCACTCCACGAGAACTCTGCACAGAAGTTTTTGAAATCGTCAAAAATCCTCACTTGAAAGTCGCTGTTTAGTCACAAGTCTTCGCCGGAATCACAAGTATGATGCTGGAAAAGCCAAACAGCGACCGCTGAACAAGATCGCGAGACAATAGAGGTGAAAATTCGACGGAAAGATCTCGAGCGCGGAAAATTGAGAGTGAATCTGCGTGCATCTTTCTCCGAATAGAACAACAATTTGGACAACGGAACCGCCAAGTGTGCAATCTTTTGAGGTTGTTTGGATAACCTTGCCGATACCTTGCCCAATAATCTCAGTTAAAATTGCATCCGCGAATCTTGGACTGGAGCAGATGCTAATCGCGAGATTTGGGGGTGCAGTCGGAGCACGATCCAGAACTGCGTAAGTGTTCGGTGACCACTCCGACCACTTCGTTTTCCGTGCTAAGTAAAAATCTCTTATCTCGCATGGCAATTTTATGTCAATCAGCGGTTTTAACTTATATTAAGAGTCTACTGGGGCTCTTATTTCTGTCAGAGCGTGAATGAACAGTCAAGATAATCCACGAATTGAGATCGATAATTTTGAAACCCCGCTCTACCTCGAATTGAGTTTTTTTCCCGCATTTCAAGGATAAGTTGATCATTTTTGGAGACAACACATGATCAGTCAGAATGAATTTTTTGCAAGATTAGGGGGTATATGGGGGAGAAGGTAGATTGGGCGACCTACCTACTAAAAATCTACTTGGCCCCTCATTCGAAGCATGAAGGATTGTTCTAAGTAAGCGCAGAGCACATCTTTCATCATTAAAATTGTATTTGGATCAATTTTTCGGTGAAAATAAGTCAAAATTTCTCCTGACACGATTCCATTTTCATAGTTATTCAAGGGAGGCCGCCTCCCTACCACCCCACCCCTTGGACTCCCTTTGGAGCTAAGGGAATCCCCCGCTTCCTTCTTTGGCGCTTGAGAAGTCCCACAGATCTCCCCTTGTGAGTGACTTTTAGTGCTCATGTTAAAAACAGCATATATACCATAAGGCTCCTCAAACGGTTAGGAGCTTTCTTGGATGAGCCTGATTTTGTAGTTTCTATAAATTGCAAAATGTAGTCCAAATTTCCTAGAACTGGTGCGTCACGAAAAGCAGCAAAAGTAGTAAAAATATCCAAAATTCAGTGTTACGCTATTTTAGGAAAGACCTTTAGGCTCGAAAAGCATATTCCCCTCTTAGTATCAGAGTACACTCTGACGTAACTTGATAAATGTTATGAAAAATAATTTAAACTTGAGGGCAAAATCACCCTGAACAACGGTTCTCAAGTTGTTCATGCACTGAGCCCCTCGAATGAGAATCAGACCTCTTGATACGAGTAATACAAGGGTTTAAAGAACCTACACTTGATCAATGATGATATGTTCAGTTGGAGGCTCCCGAGTTTAGCGAGACAAATTATTCTGAAGAGCGGATTCTGTTGGGATAAAATCTGGTCGCACATAATGTCAAGAGCTCCTCTTTTCCTAGCTGTATGTAACGAACGGAGCTGCAAGAAAAGTCGTGCGTTTTAAAGTAACAGCAAACTCGCTCGCTCTTGGCACTTAATTTTTAAGACTCCGGGCAGCAAACTCAATTATTTTTATTTTTACTCTTATTTTTCACTTTACTTCCTCCGCTCCCCGCCTCATGCGTTATTCTTCCATTCTGCTTCTCTCCCGTTGCACTCATGTTTTTCTACGACCGACGTATTAGACTGCGTCTGGCGCAAAAAAGCGGTGTTTTTGAGCGGGAAATGGCACAACCCGCGTCGATCGTGCGGACGATTTTTGTCTTCTGCCACGATTTGATTATGAGGGCAAAACTTTTTGTCGGTCATTTTTATGAAACCCTTGCCTAGCCATAAAATTTGTTAAAATTATGAATTTTTTTATATTTTTCATGTAAATTATTTTCCCCACATAGTGGCAAACCATTCAAGTTCCGTTTAAATATCAATTTGTATATCTCTGACCTCATTTAGTTCAATAATTTTGACTTCCTAAAAAATTGTCCTTTGTTTGATTTTCCATAAGAGATCTCCCAGAGTTCTTCTTTAATCACCATATATCAATGGCCGAAGTGCAAGATCACGTATCTCCAATACGGTATTTTAAAATTGATGGTCCTATTTTATTTTTCAAAGAGAAACAAGCCAACCATATAGCTTGACATTTTTGGCGCGTATACGTAGTATACCGCCTTTGCGATCGTTTCGACCCCCCACTCGATACAATAACCGAGTCCCTTAGTTCCTTACCGAAAAGTGACTACCGCGAACTTCTGAGATTTTCCAAAGCGTGTAAAAAGTTTANGTGACCGGGAGTCCAGGGGGCGTAGCCCCCGGCTAGGCGTGACGGGCGCGCGAAGCGCGCCCAGAACGGCTAGTAAATATCTATATGTATATCTCTGACCATATTCAGTTCAATAATTTTGACTTCCTAAAAAATTGTCCTTTGTTTGATTTTCTATTAGAGATCTCCCAGAGTCCTTCTTTAATCACCATATATCAATGGCCGATGTGCAAGATCACGTATCTCCAATACGGTATTTTAAAATTGATGGTCCTATTTTATTTTTCAAAGAGAAACAAGCCAACCGTGTAGCTTAACATTTATTTAAAATATTCTGCATGCTAAGAGGAATTAAAAAACAAGGAAGTTTTCAAGAAATAACATTGATTTGATTTTCCACGAAAAAAGAATGAAGTATGACAGGAAGTTCGGAGACAGATATACGTGGTTTTGCACTTCAGACATCGTTATGGGTCTCTCTCACCCAACGAAAAGAGCTGTATAATATGAGCGACTTTGAACAAAACCTTCAAAAATGCTCCTGGAGGACGGCGCTCGGATACGACTATTCGTGCTCAGCGGATGCGCATGATGCATAAGCAAAATTATGAAGGCTATTCTACTTTCTTAACCTCCCATTACTGCCCATGCCTCGCTGTCATAAATAAACCACGGTATATTGGTCCGATGAGTTCTTTGAGGTGTTGAGGCAACGGAGGCGGCAGATTTTTGTTCGACAGCCAAGACTTCATAGTCAGGTAAGTTATAAAAATGACCGGGTAAAAAAAGCTAGGATCCTGAAGAAAATGCTATTAGATTGCCTAGTGATCAAACGCAATCAGGAACCCAGTACTGATAGGCATTCTTTTTTTTCTGCGTACGGTTCTTTATAGCTCAATATTTTATTGGCTCATTCATTTTTTTTTTACATATTTTATGTTCATTATTTTTTTAAATTTTTGTTTTTATTATTTATTTTCAAGCGCTTTGACAAGGTGTGGAATGACAATTGAATTCAGCGGATATTTTTAGGCATTTCCTCAGTCTTGACTTGGAAAAAACGGCAGCACAAGTATACCTAACCACCATACTTTTAATTGGAAAATATTTACTACGTTTTGGCATTTTTCAGGATGAACTTCACCCCACTACATTTTTCCCTTATACAAGAGAAACGTTTACACATTCATATAGAATGCGTTCTGCGAGCTGCTCATTGAAATTGATTGACAAAGTGGAAGGCGAAGAAGACGAAGAGAAAATGAAGCGATCCTATTGGTGGAAGCAAGTGGACCCTGGTAAAAATTGGCGATAGGAGCTGCGTTTCAAAATACCATAGGAGTTCTTATAGCCGACTAAAGGAGGCTATTGAAAATCATATAACTGGCTGTAGAAAGCGGAGCAAATCATATCGCCGGGCTATACAAAGCTATAAAAAAGTATACAGTCGGGCTACAGTCCCTATCGCCGGGCTTTACACTTTATCGCCATTGGTGTAAAGGGCTATAAGAAATTGTGCAGAAATTCATGTGCATTGGAAATCATTAAGTTTGATACGGAACTACCTTAATATTTATTTACAAAACACACATTATATTTTCCTTTAAAACATATTTTTTTTTCATCAATTAAAATGAGAATAATCCATACAGAGTGTGGATTTTTCACATTTCAAAAGCATGAGTTGAAACACGCTGACTCAGCGAGATTAAGTATTGGAGCACAAAGCGGAGCGGCGACGCACTGGCGCCTACAAACCCAACGGGGATACTTCACGCATTGCGCAATGCGTGAAGTATCCCTGTTAGGTTTGTAGGCGCCAATGCGCGTTTTGCACTCTCTGCCCGCCCGCCGCGCCGCAGCGTGCCACGGTGTCTAAAGCAACTATTTCATACCAGAGGTATTACACAGTATCATGAGATATTGAAGGCGCTCCAACTTATTCAGAATGGCAGGCATCCTTCAAAAGTACGGAGCTTTCCTCGCAAAATAAATCAAGATACTACGGCACAAAAAGAGAGCGGTAGTCAAAAAACTAACTAAGTCCTAGTATCCGTATTTTGTAACGTTTAGCATAAACTTTATCGTCTGGCTGTTGCTTAATCGCCATCGGTTATAAAAGGCTATAAGAAATTGTACAGCCGGCTACAGAAGCTATTGAAAATCTTACAGCCGGCTGTAGGTCTATGTTGTTTAGGAACACAGATTCTACTGCCAATTTTTACCAGGGGATTCAAAAGGAAAAACAGGTGAGTAATAGACTAACATATAAACCGAAACTCACGAGAGACACTTTAGTCACTTCATCACTTTCCCCTTTAGTATATAACAGAAACACGTTTCAACCTTTACTATTGCTCCATTTTCTCCATGTCTTTTGTCTGTCACTTTGCCTATATATGAATTTCAATAATCAGCCTGTTGGTTAATAGGATGCTCTTTGTCTCCACGTTCCGATGTATGGATACTCTTGTGCACTGAAAAAAAAAAAATAGAATTTTAAAACTGCCAAGCAGTGTTTTTTTTTTTAAATCAAGAATTTTGCTGCTCAATATAAATTACTATTTTGCTTAACCCAAGCATTATTTTTCTTGAATCAAGAACAATTCAGCTTAAATCAAGGAATAAAAATTGTTGGCGGCAAAGTCAAGAATCATCATGCTTGAGCCAAGCACCTTTTTCTTTCAGTGTACGTAGAAAACGCAAGGTAAGGATTTCACCTTCATGGAGCCACGGTAGCTAATAATTTGCCGAAATCACAATCTAACAAAGCATTATATGCTCAAAGGAATTTCGTAAGTACAAGTTCTCGGCTAATCACTCGCTTCAAGGAAGTAGTATGACTAAGAGCACACTATCATTATCCAGTCATCATGTCGAGGAAGTAAAGTTCTGCCGAATTCCATTCGAGGGGCGCACAATGAGGCGAAGAGGCGAGTTACCTGGATAATTGTTCTCAGAATTGGACTATTTCTGCCGAACGGAACTATATGTATTATGACGTGAGCCCTGTGATGCATGTATTTTTAAGGGTCTCAGGGCTCATGTCTTAGTGCACATATTTCTGTTTGGTAGAAATACGTCCAATTCTATATGTACATTCTAATCGGGAGCGGTAGTTGGAAAAGTGCTTCTCCCGAACTTTCTCGTCTTGGACTCCTCTTGTCGCTCGTAACTGAAGCTTTCCAAGCTTTTGAGGCCAGAGGAACATAACAACATCGTAAAGTTGCCTAGTCTGCACGAATAAATTACCCAATTAGATGGGATCTCCATTCAAACAGAAGGTTATACCTATGCTTTCTCATCAGAACTGTGAACCCTCCCACACACTAAAAATGTCTTTAACGAATAAAAAACAAAGTATTGATGTTGCTAGTTTTTTCTTAGTTGAAAAAACAAAGTATTGATGTTACTAGTTTTTTGTTAGTTGGAAAATTTCAGACGTCCCTCAAAACAAGAGGAAAACTGCGCGAATTGAATCGGTCATGAAAATTAAAGGCAAACAGAGCTCAGCCAATCTCTGCATTTACTTTCACAAAACTGTCTTTTCTCTTTTATTCATGGCGGTCACGATTTGTTTAAAAGAGCGTTTCCTTTAGAGAAAGAACAATGAAAATATGACCAGGCAACTCACACACACCACAACACACCCTCACACACACCACTTGCAACACTTAGTCTATTTTGGGTTTCATTTTGTCTCGGAATATTCAGGACCTAGCTATATTCTACTATGTTTGTATGTGCGTATGTATGTATTAGTCGCTTTTACAGAGCACTATCCGAGTAGCACAAATTACTATGAATGGCAATGGCATGGTGAAGTTATTGCTATTGTGCCGGAGTGTTGTGCATGTTGCATATTCATTGGTTGAAGGGGCTAGTCCTTTGAAATTTATTGCAATAAAATTGAAATAAGTTGCAATTTTTTTTTTTTTTTTTTGCATTACAAAATACCCACATTATTTTATTAATCGTGCAAAATCGGAACTTACTAACCAAATGATGTAAAAACATTGCGAATTCAAGGTATTTTATTGCGTTAAGTTTCAATATTTTCCTTGCTTTGTGTTACTTAAGTAGGTTGCTAGGTCCACTTTCTCACCTCATATTCTACCCGCGGGTAGTGTTTAACACGTTTCACCCAGTATTTTCATCTACGGCTAAGCTTTTGATGAGCGAGCGAGACGCTGGTATTTTATGTGTTTGCTTTAATGCACTGTGCGGTGTTTATTGTTGAAGTTTCCAACAGGTAACCTCGCAGATTTAGATCACCCGGCTGCAAATTTTCAACGCCTTAAATCTCCATCCATCGGTCAACACGATTTTCCTGCTGATATGACATCTTAAAATTGTCCTCTTCATTTTCCTTTTCACTCGAAAGTTAAGCCCCCGGTAGTCCCAATTTTGCGCGTCGCCATTTACCATTATACGCGAATCCCAGCTTGATCGTGTTAGAGTTATTCGATAAAGCAAAGTCAACCAAATATTAGAAAAATATGGATTGTCGCTGACCTCTTTCTTAAGGTGTTAATTTTTAAATGAAGTATACTTCCCAAAAAGTATACCGAAGTACGCTGAATACTCTATCGCGTTTTTAAGTGCGCGTTTGCTATGTTAGCAGTACGTTTATAAGTAAGTGAAGTCTGTGTAGTGTCTTACATCTCAAAAATCATAAACATGTACAGTAAGTTCGGGTTCCTTCTAACTTATTTTTCCAGTTATTTGGTGTTAAATTTTGCAAACGCTCAGAGTTCAGGGAGCGGTGTGGAACACTGGATACATTTTAACAACCGCTTTTCTCAACCTGGTGCCGGGGCGCCTTTCTCATACGTGCCTGCTTATTATATCGAAACACCACATAGTTTCAATGATGATGAGCTGCAAATCTGTCACGTAGAGGACAATGCAGATCATTGGCCGTCAACCTACAGGTACAATCCACAGGCAAAAACTAGCCGGTCTTGGACATCCGAAGTTTCCGACCTATCATCTTCCGGGTTAGTCTATGAATACCCAGATTCTTACGGATTAGTGCCCAAACCGGTTTATGAGCACGAGGATTGTCATAGGTCACTACCGGAGCCTCTGCAGAAGCACCCAGTGTATCGGGTATCGATGCCAGAGCCGATTTATGAGCACGCTCCAGTGCCAGAACTTGATACCCGACATCCAATCCCGTTAGAACCGGTTCTTCCTACGCCGATTCTGGAACGTGTCCGCGAGCATCCACCATCTCTGAACAAACCCGAGGGTCACCCAGTGATTCTTGAACCGGTTCACCCACGACCGACCCAAGAACGGAAGTACAAGGATCCAGAGCTGCATCCGGCCAAATCAGAACAGGTTCATCTTGCATCTGTACCCGAGCGTTATCCGTTGATGTTCAAAGGTCACCCAGAGCCAGCACATGAAAAAATATACGAAGATCCAGATTATCAGCTAATATCAGAACCGATCTATTATGCGCCCGTGGAGCATGAACCGATCGATTCGAAACCGGTTCACCATGCGCCACCGGAGCATAATCCCGAACCAATTTATGTGCATCGTCCGACCGAACCAGAACCGGTTTACCACGCACCATTAGAGCATGGTCCTGAGCCAATTTACGTGCATCGTCCGACCAAGCCTAAACCGGTTTACCACGCCCCACCGAAACACATTCCCGAGGAAATTTACGTTCACCGTCCAACCGAGCCAGAACCGTTTTACCACGCCCCACCGAAACACATTCCCGAGGAAATTTACGTTCATCGGCCGACCGAGCCAGAACCGGTTTATTACGCGCCGTTGGAACACGACCCCGAGGAAATTTACATGCACCGCCCGGACGAGCCAGAATCGGTTTACTACGCACCCCTGGAACACGACCCCGCGGCGATCTACGCGCATCGTCCGGAGTTGCCCGAAGAACCGGTTTTCGCGACCGGACGATCCTCGGAACCTGAGCCAGGTCACGTGCTCCTGAACGACGGACCGGTTGACGGTGATGAGCTGGTGATCGAGCCGACGACGGTGCAGACCTACGAGCACTACGTGGAGGAGATTCGGGAGGAGGAGGAGGAGGAGAGGGAGTTGGAGCTGAAGAAGGCGCGGCAGAAGCCCATGACCGGGATCCTGAGGCTCCTCGACATGTTGGGTAGGCAACCGGATACGATTGTTGACTCCATTCTCGACCGCCCGTGGGACCGCCTCTACCGCGGCCACAAAAACTGCTGGGATTATAAATCCATAAAGTGCGACTAAACGAGTCAAAGACCGAGTATAGGTGAGACTCATTACCTGAAATTATTTAGGTGGGAGGAAGGGAATTTCCAGGGAAATAAGGGATGAAATCCTCACCTTTCGGCCCAAGTATCATAAAGCGCCATGCGACGTTTCAAAATTCCCGCCGCCATTTTATTTTTCACGGAGAAATTGTTGGTTGAATCTGTTTGAAAATTTCGCTGACTTTTATCGGCAGCACAGAGAAAATTCGGTGAAATTTTTGGACAGCTTCGTTGAACAATTTCTCCGTAAAAAAATAAAATGGTGGCGAAAATTTTGGAACGTCGCGTGGGACTTGTGATACTTTGTCCGGAAGGTGGCAAAATGGACAGGGTGTGAGTCTAAGTACCGCAGACAATTTTTCCGATAAATATTTTACGCAAAATACGTTGAACATATCGAGAACTTCCAAATTAAGTCATAAGTGAAAAGCTGACGTTCGCAGTTCACACTGCAAATAGTGAATTCAAGCTTTCCTCTCGTCAAAAATCCATAATCAAGGTAGATCAAATCAGTCATTTAAAAATAGCATAACGTCAGGCAAATAATTTAAGGAGCGTGGTTTTACACACATTTTCTTTCCTTTCATTTGAACAAAGCACTCCAAATTTTAAAAATAAATTAATAAAAAATAATGACTATCAAGAAAAATTTTCTCGTCGGAAAGTATCCCGAGATTAGTTTAACGCTCGATTAGTCTCAAGTAACTTCCGGTTTTTTGTGAGCGGAGAATGTGAATTGGCGTATACAAAAAACTCATTTTCTCAAGTATAAATTAAATTAAAGTTTCAACTTGTTTATCATAATTTGCGTAAAATGTATGTAAAAAAAAACGTGTTGCAGTACTTAATATTTTTTCTGTATAGTGATTCATCAAACAAACTATTTTTTAAATGATTTGCGACACTATCAGGATGGCACGAAAAATTTAACCCACCAATTTCTCAGGTGTACAAGAAATAATTTAGAAATGAGGCAAGGATATGAGAGGATGACTTACGACAAACTTCAACCGTAGACCCGTTATTGTCACAATAATGTTTCAAAAAAGTACTGAGACCTTAACTGAGAAATTTTTTCGGTAAAAGGGCGTATGCGACTTCCAATACTGTTAAGATTGTGCAACGTAGATATCCAGTTATAAGTAACTTATCCAACAGTTCTGCAATGAATTATTTTCTGAATCTGCTCCGAATTTTGCCTCAATATTGTGAGGAAGTAAGTCGACAGTGAAAAAATGTTATCTGCCGCGAATGCTATAAAAAATTGCACAATCTTAGCAGCTTTGCAAGCCTCATACGGTCTATTACTGAAAAAGTCCTCTATTATACGCAGTGCTCTTTCTTTTGTGGTAGCTTAGACCTGGAAATGAGCACATCATACTTTTTCTCTCACACACACATGAGTATATTAATGATTTGATTTTGATTTAAACTAATGAAAAACAAAAACTTTCGAAGTCATTTGCGCAAAAAGCTGCTTTTTAAATTTAGACTTTTTTGTTACGCTTACATCTCCCCGGTATTTCCATCATCTAGTATTATTCCGATCTATTTAATCATGCAAAGGTTATATACTTGGTCCAATATTATGTTGAATGTAGGGAATTTTCCAACACTAGGACCGCTTCACCGAGCCGTGAAAACATCATCCAGGCCAAGGAATACTACTCTGACGGCGCAGCCATGGAACCAACTTAATAGGGCGAGGACCAACGATACCATGAGCATCTCTAAAAGTTCGAACGACTTACCTTTCCGACTGGGAGCTACAAACTCCTCAATATCTTCACCAGGTTTCTCGATAGCTCGAGGTCTGGGAGTTTCTCGGCCTCAAGCTCCTTGAGGCGTGGTCAATTTTTGTACAAATAAAATAACATTTGACCTCGACTCTGGAATTTGTTCAATGTCTATTCAAAGAATATCTATGAAAGTTAGTGATTTTGCCTCATTTTTGATACTGACTAATACACTAAGGCTTGAATGAAAGATTAAAACAAATCAAGCTTATAGGAAAATTCTCAACTTGAAGCAGCTTTTTACCTTCAACCTTACACTGTACTGTCATGCTAAAAAAAAACGCCGTATTAGCATTCAAATTTTGCGAAATCCCCTCGTGGAGAATATTCACCCTTGTAAAAATTGCCAGTAGAATCTGTGTTCCAAAATACCATAGACCTATGGCCGGCTTTAAGATTTCCAATAGCTTCTATAGCCGGCTACACAATTTCTTATAGCCTTTTATAGCCAATGGCGATTAAGCAACTCACAGCCAGGCGATAAAGTGTATGCTAAACGTCACTAATTACAGATGCTAAGACTTAGTGAGTTTTTGGACCACTGCTCTCTTTTTGGGCCGTAGTATCTTGATTTATTTTGCGAGGAAAGCTCCGTACTTTTGATGGATGCCTGCCATTCCTAATATATTAGAGCGCCTTCAGTTTCGTATGATACTGTGCAATACCTCTGGTGCGAAATAGTTGCTTCAAGCGCCGTGGCACGCTGCGGTGCGGCAGGCGGGCAGAGAGTGCAAAACGCGCATTGGCGCCTACAAACCTAACAGGGATACTTCACGCGTTGCGCAATGCGTGAAGTATCCCTGTTAGGTTTGTAGGCGCCAGTTCGACGCCGCTCCGCTTTGTGTTAGGCTCTAATATTTAATCTGGCAGAGTTAGCGTTATTCAACTCATGATTTTGAAATGTTTGCACATCCTGTATGGATTATTCTCTTTTTAATTGATGAAAAAAATATGTATTAAAGGAAAATATAACGTGTGTTTTGTAAATATTAAGGTAGTTCCGTATCAAACTTAATGATTCCCAATGCTCATGAATTTCTGCACATCTTTTTATAGCCTTTTATAGCCAATGGCGATAAAGTGTAAAGCCCGGCGATAGAAACTATAGCCCGACTGTATACTTTTTTATCGCTTCGTATAGCCCGGCCGTATGATTTTCTCAGCATTCTACAGCCAGCTATATGATTTTCTGTAGCATTCTTTAGCCGGCTATAAGAATTCCTATGGTATTTTGAAACGCAGCTCCTATCGCCAATTTTTACCAAGGCATTTTTGAAGGAAGTTATGAATATTTATACTCGAAATTTTCAGAGACTTCAGATCAAATTACGTGCAAAATGCTCTGAACAATCGGAAGAAAAATATTCCCATGTATCCTTGGAAATCCGTGTTTTGTCAACGTTTGAAAGCTCATACGCAGTTTTTCTTAGAAGTGCAATGTGACCGGATCTGCGAAAGGAACCTTATCTTCCGGGAGAAAATTTCCCTTAGCTTTTCTATAATAGCTGAAGTCACGGATTTTTTGGTACGTAAGAGGTTTAGTTTCGCAAATTCAGGACTCATAACTCCTTCAATTTTTGAGCGAGCTTGTGGCAAAATTTTCCGATCTTCCTTCTCCATGCGCATTTTCAAAAAGTTAGGTAAGAACAATTTTCCTCTGGAGGATTGTTTGTCTCCTTTTGTCACGGATCCGATCACATATTGAAAAGTCACTTCCTTTTTTTTAATGCTAAAATATTGAAATTCTGCTTTATTGTGTGAGTACAAAGTATTACGTGCATCGTTAACTTTATCAGTCATTATTGATGTGTATCGGCAATAATCGTAGTTTAAGGACAGGCTACATCACATGAAGCGATATTATGTGATTTCTCTTTTAAACCCCGGTGAAATTTCCGATGAAATACATACGTAATAGTGGTCACATGATGCGTTAGGTTAAAGACTAATGGTTAATTTTTTAAAACCGAATATCCCTGATCTAAAGATCAATAGAGGGAATTTCCAAAATTGAGCGTGTGTGACTTCAATAGGTAACCTATAAAAGAGATCAGTCTTTGAAAGAATGTATGAAAAAAAAAAATCCAATCAAAATTTTGAAAGATCCAAGATGTTTTAAGCGTCTAACTCTGGGATAACAAACCCCGGGTCTTTATCACTGTGACGCAGACAGAACATTAGCCCAGGATATGTGCCAAGCATAAAAATACCTTAGATACTTTGCCGTGAATACAAATGCTACATGGACGTATTTTTGCTGAAGAAAACTATATGCATAGGGTTTGCGTTCATACATACGATCATTCGAAATTCTAAATTTATAAAAATTAAGAAAAGCTAAATTTCTGAATATTAACGATGATTTCTGGTCAGTTGACGACAGATTTTTTTACAGATTTTTACTCACAACACAAGCTTTTAAATTCCAAACAAAAACATGAATAAATTTCGTCAGAAATAAATCTTTCATTTGAAGAAAGTTGGCACCATTCCGATGTTCGAACAACCTTCAACCATAGCATAGCACAGAGGGGTAGGAGCATGCACCTCGTAAACTTCAAGTCCAATTTTAGAGAGTGAGAAAAACACTCCAAAACACAAAAGGCTGAATAAGTATGTTTTGGGATGAAAACGGCAACGGCGTGGTGGATGCATTATTTTGTTGCAAATATGTACTTTTAATCATAATGTTGTTCAAATGGGCGCCGACCGTCATGACAGAGACAGTAAGGAACAGCTCCTGCCATGCTATGGTAAAACCGCGGATTTACATCGGAGATTTCATCGGAGATGCGCGGTTCTTCTTCAGTGAGGCAGAGGAATACGCTGAGATAGGTAAGCGCACACATGGCGCTTCGTACGGCGAGTTGCGTCTCCAGAGTCCTCCTATGAAAGCAATGTCGTGTTGCTTTTGTGTGCTCTTAACTCCTCACCCCCTTCCCCTC